CTCGTAAAATGGTACCAGTTTTTCAACAAATAATACCACTCCTTCTTCTATGTAGTACCAGTTATTGATGAATTAGTACCTACTTTGTAGAAAGAACAAAAAATGGATTACTCCAATTTGGTCAACATTTGCAATATTAGTACCAAACTTAGAGTAAGATAATACTGCAATTATGGTGTTCTAGTACCAGATATCTGGTCTTCAGTACCAACTCCGACGAACGTAAAAAAAAAAAAAAATTGATTTTTGTAAAATAGTACCTGTTTTGACGCAAATAATATCACGTTTTCTTCTTAGCAACACCAGTTATTGATGAATTAGTACCAACTTTTGGTCAGCGAAAATAGATTATTCAATTGTGGTCAATATTTGCAATAAATGGTACCAGACCTGGAGTAAGATAGTACCAGCTTTCGGTGTTGTAGTACCAGATATCGGGTCTTTAGTACCAACTCCGAAAAACATAATAAAACACCAAATTTCGGTCTCAAATGATGTTTATATGACCAATAATCACTCTCACATTATTTTCTATGAGATTTATAACATGTTTAATTAAGTTTAATCGCAAATTGGTCACAAACTCAACACACTAATGAGAAATCACTACAAATACACTTCATTTCATTGATTGACACACTTTCATCTCATAGAATCATCATACATGACTACTCCAAATTCTATCTATATGTTTTAACTTCCACTATTTTTCATCCAAATCACGCGTGAATGATCCACGTGTCATGATAGACATGAAGGATTAGAGAAATTACGATTCTTAAAATAGTACCTGTTTTAGCCAATATAGTACCGCATCTTCTTCTACGTGGTACCTATTTTTTGATCGATTAGTACTAGCTTTTGGTCAAAGAAAATGAATTATGCAATTATGGTAAACATTTACAATAATTGGTACCAGACCTAGGGTAAGATAGTATCATCTTTCGGTGTTTTAGTACCAGATATTGGGACGTTAGTACCACTTGTAATGAACACATAAAAACACCGAATTTCGGTCTCAAATAATGTTCAGATGACCAATAATCACTCTCACATTATTTTCTATGAGATTTATAACGTGTTTAATTAAGTTTAATCGCAAATTGGTCACAAACTCAACACACTAATGAGAAATTACTACAAATACACTTCATTTTATTGAATGACACACTTCATCTTATAGAATCATCATACATGACTACTCGAAATTCTACCTATATGTTTTAATTTCCACTATTTTTCATCCAAATAACATGTGAACGATCGACGTGTCATGGTAGACATGTAGGATTAGAGAAATCACGATTCCTAAAATAGTACCATTTTTAGCAAATATAGTACCGCATGTTCTTCTACGTGGTACCAGTTATTGATCAATTAGTACCAACTTTTAGTCAACGAAAATAGATTATTCAATTCTGGTCAACATTTACAATAATTGGTACCAAACCTAGAGTAAGATAGCACCATATTTCGGTGTTGTAGTACCAGATATTGGTCTGTAGTACCACTTGTAATTAACACATAAAAACGCCGAATTTCGGTCTCAAATGATGTTTATATGACCAACAATCACTCTCACATTATTTTCTATGAGATTTAAAATATTTTAAATTGAGTTTAATCACAAATTGGTCACAAACTCAACACACTAATGAGAAATCACTACAAGTACACTAATTTCATTGAATGACACACTTCATCTCATAGAATCATCATACATGACTACTCCAAATTCTATCTATATGTTTTAACTTCCACTATTTTTCATCTAAATCACGCGTGAATGATCCACGTGTCATGGTAGACATGAAGGATTAGAGAAATCACGATTCTTAAAATAGTACCTATATTAGCCAAATACCGCATCTTCTTCTACGTGGTACCTGTTTTTGATCGATTAGTACCAACCTTTGGTCAACGAAAATAGATTATTCAATTGTGGTCAACATTAACAATAATTGGTACCAGACCTAGAGTAAGGTAGTACTATCGTTCGGTGTTTTAGTACCAAATATTGGGTCTTTAGTACCACTTGTAATGAACACATAAAAACACCGAATTTCGGTCTCAAATGATTTTATATGAAATAGAATTATAATTTATATTAACCATGACCTGAAATTGCACATTTTTATTATTTTAGAACAATTTTGTTGTTCCCTTTAAAATTGTAATTATATTTGGATAGTTTTGTTATTAATATATAATAATTAAGCATATTTAATTTCTCTTATCCACTCTATATATAATTTCAGAACGTGCTAAGTCTAAGTGGCAAGTTTGCACGCTTCCGATGTTGACACGTCAAAATGATGTGCTTCGTAATTTAGTTTGTATAAATATTATTGCTTTGAAATCATGTTTGGTACTTGATATAAATAGTTTATTTCCTATTTTGGTAATTATGCATTTATATTTTTCATTTTTTCTCTTTCTCAAAATCAAATCTTACCACAGGAAACTCATATTATTTATTCTCGTTTATTTCATTTATTAACTACCATAATTTATCTTTATCATATTTTAAAAGATAAAAACATATTTATATGTAGCCGGTTTTTTCATATATGATTTATCAAATTAATTATTATTTTACAATTTTCGATTTGACATCCATATTAAATATAGAAATTTAAAATTAATTCCAACTATCTTTATAAATAAAAATTAAATTAATTTATCAATCCAAATTAAAAAAATCATACACAAATGGAACTATATATTATCTTAATAAAAAATATTTATATAAATATACCTAAATTTTTTTTATAGTCTTGAGAAAAGAAATATGCAAATGTTAAGTATAACTATAGAATGAAAAGTCTACAATTTAGAAAAAAAGTCACTAAGGAGAAATCACAGTCTAGTTATACTTAACAATTGTTTATGAACATTTGCCTATATAGATATACATAATTATATGCAATAAATAATTCGCCCATGTAGTAGCCTAGTTATACTAACAATTTGTAACATTTGCCCATATAGTACTATTCACATCAGTTGCATTTTTATTGTGTAAAAAGTCATAATAAATAAACAATTTAGAAAAAAATTATAAGATAAATTTAAATCATAATTGTTTTAACTAAAAATTACACAATATGAAATAAGTAATTCGAATTACATAAGTTAAATAGCTGAAAAAACACCAAGAATGGAAAAGTGGCAGGCCCGAGGGGCCGTGGCCGGGGAGGCCGCCGCCGGAGGAGACGACTAGGCGGTTATAGTGTTGGAGGCGGAGGAGGAGCGGTGGTGGGTGAGGCGGTGGTTGGGGTTGAACCGGCCGAGGTGAGGTTTTAGAGAGAGAAAAGTAGAGAGAGGGAGGAGCATTTCTTAGTTGTTTTTTGTTGCTAGGTTATTTCTTTCTTGCTACAAGGTTAGTTGTCTAATGCTGCTAGGTTGGTTGTATTTTATTGCTAGGTTATTTCTTTCTTGCTGTTAGGTTAGTTGTCTTTTATTGCTAGGTTATTTATTTCTTGCTGTTAGGTTAGTTGTCAACGGGTCAATGCCGGAAGTCAACGGTCAACGCCGGAAGTCAACGATTTTCACCGGAAGTTAACGATTTTCGCCGGAAGTCAACGGTCAATGCTGGAGTCAACTAATAATTATTTTATTATTTAATTATTGTATATTTTAACTGATTTTGATCTAGACAAAATGAGTGGCTAAGATTGAGTCTTACGTACTCATTTTAAGGAGTGATCTCATTAGATCCGTCCCCTATATATATATATATAGTTGCTGGCAAGGCATTTAATAAAACCTCCAGCATTTTCCCGCCCAAATATTTTCAGCTCAATAAAGTAAGTTTTTATTAATTTATCAATATGGTAACATTTTTATGATTATTACTAATTGTTATTATATTTTTTTTATAATTTTCTTAATTATTTATTATATATAGTAACGTCTTCTTGATTTTTCAAAATAGTTCCATCCTTTATTTATTTATTTATTTTTCTTTTCCTAACCTCTTTAAAAAACAATTAAAATTGAAAAAATAATAATAAAATTATTCACAAATTATATTAAAATTACTTATTGTGGTACAAAATGATGGTACAAAAACATTAAGTGCTGAAATTAACAATTTAATATTATTTACTACAATTCATAGAGTATATGTTGTCCTCCCATTATTTATTTGTACAATCTATATATATGTATAAGTATAATTGCTGGAATATCTGCACTTTTTAGGTTAATTAAGATAAAAATTGTTAGATTTTATATTAATTGGGTAATAATTATATTTTTTATTGTATCATATAATAGTTATTATTAGAATTAATATTATATTTTACAATGAATGATATATGAAAGTTACATAAGCATAAAAAATTATATTGTAAAGGATTTTTTGTTCAAGTTATTTGATCTAAAATCAATATTATATTTTTTTATCTGATTAAGCGATTATTTATTAAATAAATTAATTTATTTTAATGTCACATTAAAATTACTTTAAATTGCATAAGCAGTTGTTATAATAACTTTAACATTTTTTAGCTAATTAATTGTTCACGATCACTCAAATTAAAAAAATACATTATTTATTACATTTTATGCCATGAATATAGTGATTTAATTTGTTCACGATCACTCAAAGCAGTTGTTATCAATATAATTGTTCACGATCACTCAAAGCAGTTGTTATGCCATCACTTCACGATCACTCAAAGCAATTGTTATCAATATAGTGATTCACATGCAATCAAATCGTTATGTACTATTTATTGATCAAATTTTAAAATATAATACCGTTATTTAATTTATAATTTTAATATTATATGAATAAATATAACTTATAGTACTCTATGTTTAAATTATAATATCATTATCTAATTTACAATTTTAATATTATATGCATAGAAATAACTAATAATATTTTATTTACATCTGTGTAAATGTACATGTCGAATAGTAGTAAATAAAGATTTGGGCCCAATATGCCAATACCGATGTCATTAATATTGTAATCATAATCATGGCAGTGATTTTGTTTTATTTGCTCTCCCGTGCTATTCTTCCTGTTAATAGTGACAAAGTGACGGTGCATAAACCCCACAGAGAGATTCCATCCAAGAGCGATTATTGAACCTTATAAACATCGAAAAGTTTGAACCAGAAATTTGAGCAGAAGAGAGGATAAAATGGCTCGGAGAGTTTCTACTCTCATTCTCTCTCTGTGCTTCTCGTTTTGTTTCGGCGCAATCTCATCTCAGAAAGAAGAATATGACCCCACGACCGAAACCATGGAGTCGTTTTCAGGTTACCAAATTCACGAGCCTCCGTTGGAGGGTTATTTTTCTTCACTCGCAGTAGACATTGAAAGTCTGCAACGAGAGGTATTTTTTATTTTTTTATTTTTTCCCAGCAATTTCTGTTGGTGGATGTATTTTGTTTCTGTGCTCGTGATTATGGTGAGGTGTCCTTGAAAAGGTTCNATTTATTCCGTACCGGTATGTTGTTTCTTAATAGCTTTTGATAAATAGTTAAGATGGTAAATTTTGTTAGTATTGAATTCTGAATCAGAGTTGATTTATTTATTTTTCTTATTTTTTCGTGTGGCATGTAAAGAATTTGGGTTGAAGCTTTCTTTTGTTTTTTCTTTTTTTTCTTTTGTTTTTTCCTGAGACCAAGCTGTTTGCCTCTTATTTATTATGCTTCTTTGAGTTGGCTGTTGCTAGTAGTATGGTCATTTTTAGGATAATTTTTTACAAGAATTTGCAATAGTCAGAAAGTTTTTTCTTGAATGGATTATACATGTTACTTTGAGGGTGCAATGACACATGGAGATCCTATCTTGAATAATTTTTTCGTGTTATGGTGATCATCTGATCGATATAAGCAAACACCCTGAAATTATTATTATTATTATTATTATTCTGTTGAATTAATATCCATGACACATTTCTTTTGTTATTATATTCTAGATTGATGAGCTATCAACTTTCTCTGATACACCTGCACCTTCAGTTACAAGGATCCTTTACAGTGAGAAGGATGTGCTGGCAAGGAGGTAAAGCATCGGTTTTGATTATTTCACATGCCATATTTTACTTTTCGTACTCATTAACTTGCAAGAGGCATGATATAATGAGCCAACTTATATTGTGCGTGCGTCCAATTCCTTTGCTGATGCGTAAAACACCCATTTAAATCACCTTAAGACTTCATATGCCCCCATTGATATTGATAGTAGGTTGAGTAACATGGTGGATTTCAGTGAAGTCATTTTCCTAAATTTTGTAAATCAAAATGCAGGTACATTAAAAATTTAATGGGCCTTTCTGGTCTTGCTGTCAGAGAGGATGCTGTTGGGAACATCTTTGGTCGATGGTGAGTCAGACAAGAATTGCGATTTGACCTTAACTTTCGAAAACAATTTTTGGTCGAGCAAATATGCTCAAATTTGAAAACTTTCACTGGAAGGATCATTGTATCAGTTGCAATACTATGTCTTAAGAAATCAAACTATAATGGACTTTTTGGTTTCCTCTCTCTCTCTCTCTCTCTCTGTCTCTCTCCTCTCTGTCCTTTCTTTGCTAACCTTTGTCTTGCCTTAGAAAAGGAGCAGATTATTTCTTGCATTTTGGTGTTATATATGTGTTTTTTCTTCGTCTTGGTATTAAGGAACTTAATATCCTTTGTTTACATGAGACTTAGAACATGAAACATACTGCAACTCTGATTTTCGTTCATAGGATTGGATCCGAGCCAAATCTGGCTCCTGTTTCAACAGGTTCTCATATTGACGCGATACCATACTCGGGGAAGTATGATGGAGTTGTTGGTGTCTTGGGAGCCATTGAAGCCATTAATGTACTAAAGAGGTCTGTAGAAAATGTGTTCTTCTTATCCCAGATTACTTACTTAATTCAGACCGTATGGATAACCTGAAAGGTTGAGAAAAATAAACACATTTTTATGCTTCAACTACATTAACCACAACAGAATTAAATTTGGTACTAGAATTTAGTCTCGTCTTATGGAATTTTTTTCTCATCAATTAACATGATTTGTAGAACTCAGTAAGCACACATGAAATGCATTAAAATGTACTGAAAATGTCAAATGGGTTCATGGACTATCTGCTTACATTGAGATTTCTGTAAATTGTGATCTATAGTTTTATTGTATGCCTAGTTTTGTTAACACACATGCAGGCCTCATTTAAATTAAAGGTTAACAGGTCTGGCTTTAAGCCTAAGAGATCAATGGAGGTCATCATGTTTACATCAGAAGAGCCAACACGATTTGGGATTAGCTGCTTGGGAAGGTTAGGACATCATATTTTTCCCCTATAAAGATGCTGCTGAGCTTAATAAATATTGTTTTCTAAATTTTCACTCAACATTCCTTCTTTATATCCTTTTCTATCTTCGTTTGGGACAATTACAAAAACTACCCTTGGGGCGAAAAAAAACAAGATTAAAAAAAAAAAAAAGAATCTTGAGGTGCTGATTCTGTCTAGTAATTGTGTGTGCTTGCTGGTGGGGGTGCGGCCAGAGGTTGTAGTTGTAATATTTGTTTACTTAATTAAGAATATACGAAAAAAACAAATCGAAAAGTTTCTTTATTTTCGTTAATTGTTCAACTTTTACGTGTTCCTTTTTGGAAGTACACTAAACCTCAGGGGTTGATTTTGCAATCCTTTTGTTACCCCTTCTTTCATGTGTTTCCTTCTCTCGGTTGTCCTTTATGTTACTTTCAGTTTCTTGAATTTATCTTGAAAATATTTTCACATTTTTTGCAGCCGATTATTGGCCGGCAGCGAGGAACTTGCAGGTCTTCTTAAGAAGACAGTGGACGGTCAAAATGTATCTTTTTCTGATGCTGCTAAGCTTGCTGGGTACACATACAACAAGGACTTGTCAAGCGTGTTTCTAGAAAAAGGGAGCTATTCGGCTTTTGTTGAGTTGCACATAGAGCAAGGCCCTATTCTGGAAGAGGAAGGTTTGGTTGGCTTACATGATATACAAAACTACTACTTTTCTTTTTTTGGGAATGTTATCTTCTATTCATGGGTTGTTGATCTGTTTCATATTATTCTTTATAAGGAATATCAATTGGTGTTGTGACTGCCATTGCTGCCCCAGCTAGCATCAAAGTGGACTTTGAAGGCAATGGAGGCCATGCTGGAGCTGTTCTAATGCCCAAAAGGTAGCTATTCTCCAGTTGTTGCTATTTTTACACTAAGCTGCATATAATACTGGGTTTCGCACTACTTTCCCAATATGTGTCGTTTTTGGGTTTCGATTTCCTTGCTCAATATGCATTTCATTTTACTTGTCATCTGGGCCAATTTAAAATTGACCCATATCCTCACATGATAGAATGCACAATGGCTCTGGAGGTCAAAATGAACAATAAAAGATGGCAAATTTCAGGGCCAACAGTACAATGGCCAAAGCGCAAAAAAACGTATAATTGAGGGGTTTTATTTTAGTTCGCTAAATTTTATACAAAGTTCTAAAGAAGGTGATAAAGCTTACAAAATAATAGATGTGGAAGTGAGAATAACACAAATATTTTTACGTGCTCTGACTATAAATACTCTAGACGCGCGAGGCTACCCCTAGTGAAAGAGATCAATTCACTGGGCAAATGAATTATTACAAATACATTCAGTGGCTTTCCGAAATGTAATGACTCTTCTTTATTCCGCCACAGTTTATACAATCAATGAATCAATCATGAACTCCATTTGTAAACTAAGCTTACTTGGATAGCTGAGTTATTGACACGTCAGTTGTTTTCAGTGTTGGGATGAAGAGTGAAACTTTTCTTTTTGAAACAAGATTGCCAAAATAAATTGGATGAAATGATCCACAGCTCTAGGAGATGCTTAAAGCCGGTCGAATCTTCAAAATTCAGCCTCAAAATGTAGAAACCCTTTTCCTAAATGAAAGATATTTTAGACCCACTTTTCGTCTGAAAATCATTCATAGATCATAGTGATTATATAAAAGATAAAGCAGTACAACCATGTAGGCCATAACTAACTCACTAAACGCATCATTTTATATCTCAATATTAATGTCAGTTGCCATCCCAACACCTGTTTCAGCACATACAACTACTAACTAAAAAAAAGCCCAACAGTTACTATAATTATTATTTTTGGGGGTTCATTGCAATTAACTATTTCCTTATTATTATTATTATATATTATTACTATCACCCTCGATTAAACTACTTTTGACGTTATATGGCCCATCTCAAAATATTTTCATACTGTTTTTTGAAACATAGTCTATTAGTAGTGAGGTGGGTAAAGGAATTTGAAGTCCTTGTTAATTTTTGTACAAGTGATATGATTTATCTGTGATGCATGTATCATTTGGAACAGAAACGATGCAGGACTGGCTGCTGCGGAATTAGCACTTGCTGTTGAGAAACATGTGTTGGAATCTGGGTCCATCGACACTGTTGGAACAGTTGGTAAGTAGCATACACTCATAAAAGGGGATTTTTTTTTTCTTTTTTTTTTTTTTTTTTTTTTTTTTTTTTTGGTAAAATTGGTTTCTTTTTGGGTACGTAGACTTAACTTGAGGCCTAATGATATCAAGGAATGGTGTAATGTTTCAGGTATTCTGGAGCTGCATCCTGGAGCAATAAACAGCATACCTAGCAAATCACATCTTGAGATTGGTAATGATTTTAATTATGGTTATTAGTCTTATCAGTTAGTCGTGTCTTAATTCGTTTCCTTTTTGGTAGATCAGTTTGTGTACTGAACTAAAAAATAGCCCGCATTCCTACCACTTGTAAATGCATATCAGAAAATTCTCTCTGTGAATTTGTAGATACTCGTGACATTGATGAAAAGAGGAGGAATCTTGTGATTGAGAAAACCCATCAATCTGCCCTCAGCATATGTAAATCTCGCAATGTAAAGCTCTCGGAATTTAAGATTGTGAATCAAGATCCACCTGCATTGTCCGAGGATTTGATCACCAAGGCAACAGAATCTGCTTGTCAAGAACTGAAATTGTCTTACAAGAAGATGATTAGTAGAGCCTATCATGATTCCCTCTTCATGGCCAGGTTAAGTTTTAATGAATAAGTTCTACAAAATAATTCGAGGATTCCTTCTTTCGATTTCCATGCTCAAACTGAAAAATTTGTTGAGAATATTTTATGCTGACAATTTGTTTATATACTTTTACATGCTCACATTTCATTGATCTGTGCAGAATATCTCCCATGGGCATGATTTTCATTCCATGTTATAAAGGTACAGTTTCTCTCAAGTTCGATCCTTTTGCTTATCCCTTTTCATTGCTTTGACATTTAAAAAAAAAATCCCAATGTTCAATTACAACTCCACAAAATAATTTCCTTACCTGCACCCCACTATTAAAAAGTCGAATTCTAAATCAGCATGAAAATTACAAATGCACATTATATAACTCTAAGGTGACTGCTACAAAAATAGTGAAATCGAGGCATGAATAGGATGCAGATGGAAGAAAACGTGCGCCATATATATGCTCAGGTGAAAATATGATAAAAAACTGAGGAATATTCATATCTGTGGGCAGGGTATAGCCATAAGCCTGAAGAATTTGCAGCACCACAAGATCTTGCAAATGGGGTCAAAGTTTTGGCACTAACACTCGCCAAACTGTCTCTTTCGTAATGCGTTCAACTGATTTCTGAAATATGCTTATGTAAATTATGAACTCTTCTACCACATTTTTGATACATTTTTCGACTCTTTATCTGCATTTATGAAACCAGGCATATTTTTTTGGGTCAATTCACATTTGCATATGCGTTATATAAAGGAAAACAGAGACAGAGCCAGATATCATTACGACCTTAAGACAACAAGGTCAAATATAATTACAGTCAGTTCTATTATCTGTGTGGGCATGTCATTTTTCACCTAGTCTGAAACTAGGGATTTCTATTTTCAAGTAAACATTAGCTTTTAGGATATAAAAAGATCGATATTACACCAAACTTCCCTATTTAATATCTTTCTCCGTTTGAAGACTTATCGTCCTTTGACTCTGCGTGATCAAAATGATCTGATCATGAATGATGAGAGACGGGGGATATTGTACATACCAGAAACTTATTTCTATCTGCCTCTTCTTTCTCAATGCGTGTGTGATTTTTATTTTTAGTTATATTTTTTTTTGTATTATTTATGCATACTTTTTATGAATTATATTTGCTTATTTTAAGAATCCCTTAGATTATAACCACAGTTAAGATTGCTGCATGGAATGTATATGCATTAAGAAGAGAGAAAGGGGATTTTTTTTTTTAGTTGCATTATGTTGCATTGTTAGCCAGAATTTTTTGACACTTATATTGCATTGGGAGATATAAGTATTTAGTAACTAAAGTTATATGGAAAATGAATAATTGGAAAAGCTACCCTTCGGTTTGGTGTAATTACGAACGACCTTTACAGGTTTCAAAATGCATCAAAAAGTTAAATCCTGCTTAAATGTATCTTTCATATCCAACTAATTACAGTGTTACACATGTCAAATTATACTAGAGTTCTTCTTTCTCCATGTTATAATCTCTAAATGGACAATATACTAGAGATGCTCTGAAAATGGACAAAGTGAATGGATTTCTGGCCAACCATAAAATTAGGGTCTAAACTCACAAAAGATAGCGTGGCAAAAAAAATAAAAAATAAAAATGATGGAATACCGTTTTAGTGTCTTTTGAAATTTGCAACTAATTTCAAGTATATTAGTATACAATAATGCTAAGGAGCCAACTGTTGGCTCCATATCATTACTGGTTTAGTATATGTAGGTCCTGAATCCTAATACGCTTCGCCTTAGGGTAAATGATCACCTTAATTTAGATAGATAATAATAAACAGTAGCTAGAAAGACCATATTAACATGAGGAATTTGCACCACATACTATCATATTATATTTATATAACATTTTTACACCCATTTTAATTTTATTTATAAAATATCTAATTCAACCCCAAAACGGGCCTGTCGGGTGAGACCAGGACTAGCTCGAGGTGCGCGAGATCTCCAGTATGGATTTAAATCGATCTACGCGTTCACGCCCGAATCAGGTCGGGGCGTGCCGATCCGGTTCAACCCGAGGAATGGCCGGTCGCTGCTCACTTACAGGGACGATGCTGTTATTTATGTGGATGGCAAGCCTAATGTAAAATTCAGAACAAATATTGATACTTTGTGCTTGTTTTGTTGCATTATTTGGAAATAAAGAAATATGATTCGAAATTGGTAAAAGGTTAGGTATGGGATGAATTGATTAATTTGAATTTGAACCAGTTTCACGATTGACTACATCCCTTTTAGGTTTAAGTTTGTATGTTGTGTGTTTTGGCCTCATATACTGTTAATAAACTAGAAATATACTATTGTTTAACCGTTAAAGTAGAAATATACTGTTAATAAACTAGAAATATACTGTTAATAAACTAGAAACATACTATTTATGATTAGTATATGTACATAATCTTTTATGGAAGACATGTTTTTCATTGCAACATATACATAATATAGTATATGTACATAATCTTTTACGGAAGACATGTTTTTCATTGCAACATATACGGAATATATACTAACATAAACACAATATATACCCACCTGCTTTAGGCATTAATATAGATAAATAATGTCTTTTTGTTGTGTATATGTGTGGTTTATTTTTTAGTAAAACTGTTTACAAAGCATAAAAGTAAAATAAACAATATGTAAACTCAACATATACTAAAAAATATTCAAAAACTGATTTAAAACAAGCATAAACTAATTTTTTTTTCATACCTATGGTTTATATTCAATATATTTTCGGTATATGTATGGTTTATATTTAGTAAAATCATGGAAAATACATACAATACATATACCAGACATTTTTTATGGTTTATTTTATGTATATATATTAAATATATATTCAGTATATATTTAGATAAAAGATTTTGTGCGTGCATGTGTAAAATCACATTCCATGTTGCAAGAAGGTGAGGCAGCAATTTTTTAATATCTGGTTTTCATTCCATATACATCAAGCAATTTTTCTTTTCTTTTTTTTTACTGGATATCGTGCGGGAATTGGGGGATTGAGGGTCGCGGGGGTTATGTAACTGCTTTTAGGTTTATATGCAGTAAAAAATTCTTATTTAGATAGATTTATAATTATTTGATTATCAATGATAGAATTATAATATTTTCTATTTCATGCAGGAGACATAAAAAATTCCCTATTAACATTGCTCAATTGTGTTTCGAACGTCCTTTTCCATCTTTTCTTAAACTTGACCACATACAAGTGTCTAAATAAAACAACTCACAAATTTCACGGATTATCAGAAGATAATATTATTTTTTGTAAAGAAAAATCCAATCAAAGTATAAACTTTTATTTAATTATTATAGGGGACATGGGCTGTTCGAATCACTAATGTCAACATACTGGTTTAACAATGACTCTTAATACTCACTCGTGGTTTTACTTGGAAGTGGTTATATTTGATGTAGAGTGGTGTTAAAATAATTTTATAAGAACAAATCAAATATCATACTTGTGAACGTACCATGTGAAATAAACAACTTAAGCATGAGGAACTTGTGAGGAGAAAGCATTTCAAGGTTTGAACCTCACATAAATTTGATTAAAGTTGAACGATTAAAGTCTTCTTAAAATAAAATATGCTTAAACAACCACCAAATAGACATGACCATAGGCCAAACCGCCCGAAACCAGCATGTGATTTTACCAGGGCTGGTTCCGATTCAAGCATTTACAAATTTTGAATCGACGGATTTCAATTACGACAAAACTGACGGTTCAACTTAAAAAAAAAAAAAAGAATTATTATTATATGTTTTTAGTAATTCGGACCAGTCCGAAACCGCCAGTTCATTGAACCGACCCGTATATGTTATTGGGTCAATTCAAGCCCATAACACGGCTAGTAACTGAGTTTTGGCCATACCGCCAAATTAATGGATTAGGTATATTCCTAGCTAAATTGAACCCACCATCCCGTTATTTTATGATATGAATGTAAATCAGAATCAGTTAAGAAAAATGTACACGGAGTTGAAGTAAAAAATTAACGCATATTTGTTTTAAACTTGGATGTAATCAGATAAGATGTTACAATTTAAATTAAATACATATTGTTTTTCTCTTTTTTTATTATTCAATATAAAATATTATAGTGAATTGACTTCCTTAAAAATAGCACTTTTTTGTGCCAACAAAATCCTCACTTTTTAATAAATAAAATTAAAGCAAGTGAATCCTTTATTCTATGAAACAAATGCAAGTCTTAATTGTGCAATCCACTAATAAAAAAATACATACTCTACATCGTGCAATATAACATTTAAATTAAATAAATATTATTAATTTGTGGAATAAACCATTAAAAATATATTTTAACTACTGCATTGCTCTTATAAATAGTGAGGTGCATGCTTTTATAATTCACAATCAAAACAACAGTACAATTTTAGTCGCATAATACAAAAATTGCATTGCAATATGGATCAACCATGAGGACTAACAAAACAAGGTATCAACTCCAACAAATCAATATTGATGAAGCGGGCAGTACAAATGTTTCAAAGAAAAACATTCGAGTCATCCTACAAAAACATGTTGGAAATAGAATATTTCAAAGAAAATTAGAGACATCCTACAAAAATATGAATAATGGAAAAAGTATTTCACGACGCCGATGTATAACATTCAATTCTTTCACCATGATAATGGTTATATTTTTGAATTGTAAATTATTTGTCTACAATTTATTCTATAGGGTGGTCTAGTTATTGGTTTAATTTAAACATTTCTACGACAAGGACCTTAAGATGGTAAAGCAATTTTCATGCAGAGCATTTTATAATCTGATCACTTGTTATGTATGATAATTTTTTTATTGTCCAATAATGTTTAATTTATGTAATTCCATATATAAATACCGCACGGATTATGCATAAATAATTATTACCACCTAATGATTAAATATTATCACCTAGATTAATATTTATTATACTGCCTCACCTATATCTTTATTCTAACAATAGTTCCACTATACATGAGTGATTAGCAGTGTGAAATGGGCCGGTCCGGTCCGGCCCGTGCTGGCCTACGGTTCAAATGGAGCGGGCCAAAATGGCCCGCATTTCTACGGGCTGGGAAATCCATGGCCCGTGGCCCGCCCTCATTAGCCCGCGGGCCAAATCGGCTAGCCCGTGGATTTTTTGGTATTATGCACTTTTATATACTTTTTGGTTTGTTTATTCTTATATTTACTAGTATATTAATAAATTAGTAAGGCTTCATGTGTAATGATGTTAAATATTTGTCATCCAGTTTCTATTTTTATTTTTTTATGAATAGTTATAGGGTATTCACGCAGAGGAGAGACTTAATTCATATAAAATATTATTTGATTCATTAATATTTTTATTATGTAAAAAAGTGTTTCATGTGCATTCACAAATCTTAATATCATTATCAAATTTTAAAAATATAAAATAAATAAATATGGAAGAAGAAGAAAAAAAAAAAAAGACGATAAAGACAAAATCCAACAAAATAAAAAAACGGGCTGGACCGCGGGCCAGTCCACCCCAGCCCGCTTTAGACCGTGGGCCAAACGGGGCGGGTCAAATAGACCTGTGATTGAACAGACTGGCCAAGCAAAGACCCAAGCATGTCCATTTAGGTGGACGGACGGACCAGCCCGCGGGCCATGGCCCGTTTTGACAGTGCTATGAGTGATACAACTTTAAGAATTCGAAGTTGAAATCCAATCCGGAGTAGAAAATAAATGACGCTAGCACTATTGCAAGTCGCCTTAGAAGTTTTATTATCCTTTTAATTACAACCACTCTCATTAGTTGAGCGTAATAAATAGCTGATTTGGTAAATAAGACTTTTAGGATTAGATACACCTAAAAATACACGTAATATATTCCATTCCTATTATTGGACAGGATTCCCTTATTGTTCTTAATAGTAGCATATGAACATGAGACAAGCCAAAATTCTAATTGAAACCAACCGCATTCTAATTGAAAAAAAAAAGGAAATAGGAGATAAAAAAAGAATATGGCTTCAATCATGCTTGTATATT